ACTAAAAAGTAATATAAAAATATTATCTTTAAATTATTTTTTTTAGTAATACTATAATTACAATGTTATGTGTGATTGTAAATATACAATCATAATATTAAACAAGTATGACATGATATTAAATGAATATAATATAATATTAAATGAATGAATGCATACAGTTTTCAATAAAAAAAATTAATCATTAATTCAACAATATATCATAATATAAATTTACAATATAGTAATATGGTATTATGCAAATAGCATTGTCGTTATTTTTTTGGTTTGCAGAGATGGAAGCTCTTTTTTTCTTTTTTAACTTTCTTTATATATATATATATATATATATATAGCATGTAGATAATAAAGTGACCCCATTAGAAAGTTGGGCCACTACCATGCGAACAAAATGATCATATAGAAATATGAGAGCAGAGAGAAGGCCACAAATAGCAGTGGTGGGCCTATGCCCCATGTAAACTGTGTTGGGCCTCGGCGTTCAGGTGGCTAGGTACCAGTGCCATATTCTGCATGTGCTCCAAAAGTCAATGGCAGCGATTTTAAACATTTCTAAATGGCAGCCTTGTTTTTAGACTTAGGGATTTCTTAATCTCTTCCTAATTTAACTTTTGTTTATTAATTTCACCATGCAGGGCACTTTTAGGGGCAGGTAGGTGATGGGTTGTTGTTGCATATATGGCATAACAAAGTGCCATGTGCATGATGACTTGGCCACATGCAATTTCATAGGCATCACCCATATTACTCAAGGAAACAAAAATTTTTCCATAGTTTTTAATGGAATTTTTTTTCAACTTCATTTTATATATAGTAAATACACAATTTTAGTTGACATGTGGGGATGAGAAGAACTTAAATATAAAATTTTTTACAATTTCAGTCTGTCTTTAATGTTTCATAAGCAACTTTTTACATTTAATTTCTTTTTTTTAAAAGAAAAAAAGTGAAACAAATATAAATGAGATTGAAAAGAAAATTAAATTACCTTTATATTACTCCTTCTATCCAAAAATAGCTGTTGTTTTTTAACTTTGAGTTTGTCTTAAATTATAATATAGATAAATATATAAATTGTGTTTAAAATTTTAATTTAAAAAATAAAAAATATCACAACTCTTTTAATTTAAAAGCAGTACAAATTTTGCTTTTCATGAATGGAGGGAAATTTTGTGGGCCTATTAGGCTCAGAAGGTTATGTGAACCCGTCAAAACCACAAGGCCCTCACTTGCGTCTGCCAATCCAAAGTCTAAACCACCGTGTTAGATTCAGCCCAGATATCTAAAAGGTCGAAACTGGGCAATTTTTAACGAGTGTTATTTCGCCGTCACATCGAAGCGGTTGCGTTAGGCGTTGGGCTGTAAGCCTGCAACACGGAGGGAAACTTAACCCATTCCTTTATTTTGGATGCTTGGGAAACTATGTAAATAGACGGTAACTTGGTCAGATAGAGACAGTAATTTATTTTCAACATCATTACTATGTAAATGATTTTAATTAGGTAATATATTATTATGAGTTAATAGTATATTTATTGTATTTTTTATAATTAATTTATATAAAAAATATAAAT